CTCCACACCCCAGGCAGTGGCCTGGGCTGCCTGGGGCCCAGCTCCGCCGTCAGGGAAGGATACGACGAATCTTTGAGCATAATTGATTTGCTACCAATATTTGGCTTGCTAAATATTGGCACTGCCAACTATTAGCAATACCGAGACTTGCCAACTATTGGCAACTTTATGTGAGATAGACAAAACAACTCGTAGCCAACCAAGTAGTTGCCAATATTTGGCACAATGCCAAACATTGGCATGCTAATTTTTGGCAGCAAATCAATTATGCTCTTTATTCAAAGCCGTCATCGTCGTCGTTGAAGTCAAGACAATGAACAACCTAAAAACCTAGATTACAAGGGAGTAAAATCGATCCACGCGCATGGATCCGGCGACCCCCCTCACCACCGACGACCGAGGTCGCCAGCGGAAGGAAGCCGCCGGAGGACGGCGCTGAAAGATGGCCTCTCCTGATGGCGGCTAGGGTTCCAGACGTCGAGAGACAAATCGTAGTATACAACCTACGTTGGCTTTTTGTGGGATATTCTGCTAGTTTTATTATCTGTGCATGTGCGTGTATTTACGCTCCAAGATTCGTGTACATGTATTTCGCATTTTCTAGCTCTACGTTCTGCTGCTAAAAAAAATCCTTATGCTCCTGAAACGGCTGATTTGTAACTATAGATGAATGGATTTTTTTCCTTCTAACATTATTTTCCCTACCACTGACAACAATATTAGTTTTGGACCAAATGAAATTTCTAGCCATGTCCATATTAAGCACATATTCTACCAATATTTTTAAACTGTACCAACCAATGTATGAGGTTTTTTTTGTGCAATGGATGTCTACATACTTTGATATACCTTGATATGGAAATCCGTTGGTGCTCGCGGGAGCACACGCTCCTGCACGCGAAAATATTTTTTGAAATGCCAAAAAAATCTATGTGTTCTTTGTCACATCCAAATGTTACATACAAATTTGTAGGAAAAAAGATTAAACATTTTGGCTTGTGCAAAAAAAGGAAAATGCTACCCCAAAATGTCACACTAAATTTGTTCTTTTCACCTGCGAAACACCGCTGCTCCATTTCGCATGAAAATTTTCAAGGATGCTTGCGACACTAACACGAACATCTACAAAAAAATTCAGAATTTTTTTGAAAACATTTACTATATATTTTTGTTTACTATTCACAAGGGAGCGCGCGCTGCTGGCAGCCAAAAGGCCATTCTCATAATTATGTGCTTTCTTATCTATGTCGTTAAAAGCAAATTTGCCTTCTTCTCAGCAAAAAAAATGTCTTGCCTTTTGTTGAGAATGAGAATTATGTGTCTTGTTTCTGTATGCTTCCACCTGTCTATGCTTGTGTGCTCACTTATCCTATATCCTATATACGTAAGAGAGTAATCCCCACTGACTTATTTATCTCAACAAGCAAGCATGCCGCCTCACCTTACAATTATGAATGGGAAAATGCTCAACTCAACATGCAATGTAAAAAGGCCCACCACAACATTCAATCATGCATGGGAAAATGTTTTCCATGGAATTATATTATATTTATATAAAATAAATATTATTACCACTATACATAATGAAATAAATAAGGCATATGTATTTTTTAGTTTTTGTTCTCATGTTATGAACCAAAATTTTGATCAACCAATTCCAGCAGCATCGCGCTGGGTATCCTCTAATTTACCTAAGTACCTCATCCCGCTATTTTTATTATCTTAACATGCACCCCCCCCCCCCAACAAAGGTCCACCACAACATGCAGAAAAAAATCATTATAAGTTGACTCATGCACACATATCCCACCGCACCACACATGCCATCTCATCAAAGGTCCATTCGACATGCATTAGAAAAAGTTCTCCATTATATTATGCCACTTATATTCAAAATAATTTTTTACTACAAAATAATCAAATGCAATAATATGTACTTATAGATTTTGTACATATATTATTAATTCAACCAGCCATGTTTCATACAATCAAATCACTTGAAATATATTGCTATTGATTCCCGCAGCAACGCGCGGGGTATTTTCTAGTTTTCATAATTACATACGTCAATTTCTTATTCTAACATTTAGTTTCCCTGCCACTAACTAATTAAGTAATTAGTTTTGGAACAAATGAAATTTCTAGCCTTGCCCATATTAACATCGAACTCTACCAATATTTTTATAGAAAAATGTGCCAACCATGGCTACATCATGTGATCAGTTTGTGAAAACCGTAATAACCTGTTTGCTTGCCATGTGATAATGATAATGCTCATAGAAATCTTCTAATATGGAAAAGAAACATGGGGGCTTTGACGACCTAGGTTGGATGTTGAAAAAATTGGGCCTAATGTGCGTAGGATAGAATGATTTAGCTTAAATCCGTGCCATTAAAAACTACTTAATTATGGCAGGTGCACCTAATGAAGGGTCAGAATAATTTTGATTATGTGAATCAACATGGTATCTCGAAAGAAGCCCCTTATTGTGCTTTTAATATATAATAGATGCTGACATGATCAAGATCACCAAATCCGCTAATTATAGGAGCTACAGTCACCAAATTTGTTGGCAATAACATCCTTTCGCTGAAGGGAATATATTCATATCGAGAACAAACCCAATTACACATAGCCTCTACACCAACACGATACAAGAGCTACTCAAGACACTGAAAATGCACACGACAAAATTATTACAAAAGGAAGCAATAAAAAAGGACCAACATAACAATTGAAGAAGACGCCAACAACAACCATAAATGATGGCAACCTTAGGTAACAACATAGTTTCTCCAACAACAATGCCTCCAATGGAACAGTGCACGAGTAGCATCTGCATCACATGAAGTTTATGTCTGAAGTGCCATTGTCTCTGGCAGCCGAACGGGAATATTACTTCTTCTTTACCTCTTCTTTGTCTACTTGAAAAGTTGGTAATGCATTTGTCCTGTCAATGAAAATCATTTGTTCTTTATCAGGATTTTTTTAAATCATCTATTATTAGATGAGCAGGCGTCACTTCCAATAAGAACATTGTATTAGTGATTGACTTCCAATAACACTATTGCTCTTCTAAGGATGGATGACATCCATCAGCTCTGACTAGATTCTCCACATTTTCAAGAGGGCTCCATCGTTGTCTCCCTCTAAGGCCCTATCCGGAATAAAGGATTTTCATGGGAATTTTATAGCAAATCCTGTTCAATTTTTTCCCGATGGTGCCCTTTGGATTGTCGAATTGGCTTTGAAAATTCTTACGCGAATCCTTCCAATCCTTCACATTTAAGAGGATTCAAAACATTAACTCAATCCTCTTGTTTTCACTTCAGATGAGAATTCCAATACAACATGTTCTTTACCTCCTTCTTTCTCTCCCGAAGGAAAAATTTCCTTCAAAATTTCTATGGAGCATCCAAACAATTCCCATGTTTTAGATTACTGTAGGAATCTATAGGAGATGACATCTGATTCCTACTATATTCCTATTCTTGTGCTTTATTTAACTTGCGCTTAGAACATGGTTTACAAATTCACTACGAAATCTGCTCTATTCAATGACAAAATAGGAAACATCGCCAAAGATTATTTTCTGTGATGGTCAACCATCACCACGTGTTTTCCTCCCGGGGCAGCGCCCTGGGAACTTTGGTGATGTTCTGGCCTATTTTTTGACGTATTTGGCCATCATTAAGCATGTGCATATTCTGCGATGATTTGTAGTGTCATAGAAAATGTTTGATGTCACAAAAAATGATTAAAGAAATTGTGTGTTGGTATTCAGAATGTAGTACCTTATAAATTCTCAGAGTTTATGATATTACAATCATTTTTGTAGAGTTTAGGTTTAGATGCTCGTATCGAAATGCATTATGATAGAACAAACGGGAAAATATGATCACATAGAAATATATTGCATTAAAAGTTCTGAACTTCACTTGAAATAGTGTACGACAACAGCAAAGGGGTCGGCAAGTCAGATGGCAGTACTACAAAAGGTCATTGATACAACTTCGAGGTATCTATAATTTTTTATTATTGTATCAACCTTGAATATTTTATAGCAATTATATATGATTTTTTAGACTAACCTATTGACCCAATGCCAAGTGCCAGTTGCGGTTTTTGCCTGTTTTTGGTTTTTCAAGAAATCAATACCAAATGAAGTCCAAACGCTACTCAACTTTTTGACGGTTTATTTCTAGACAAGGGAGAGCTTAGAAGCTTTGGGAGGAGGCCAGAAGGCAGCCTGACCAAATTCGACCTCTATAAATTCTCTAAAAGCAAGAAACAATCTTACTTTTTGTCGGAATAAATCCAAGACATATCATCGATCATCCAAGGACCAAGCAATCATAAAAGGCACAGCACCGAGATTTGTGAACAAGGTTCACCGATATGGCTACATCCCCAAGGCCTGACTAAGGGCTCTCCTCCCTATGACACCGCTACAATACCGCACCCGATCGCCCTGAACGCCGGCACATGCCGGCGTCTTCCCCTGCATTCGTGTATTATGATGTTGGCATAGGTGTGTGTCTACCCTCGCTATATATGAGAGTCCTAGGATACAAGTGTGCTACTAGGACACGACTCCATATCCGATCTAAACATAATACTACTTAGAGTCCAACTGTAATCTACTATGTACACTATATTCGACACAACTCTAACACTTTTCATTTGATAAGAGGAGGTAAGAGGTACCATGTTAAAACTGCTCCAAAACCAACAGCATGCACGGTTCACGCATATCATCCAAGCCTAGTAATAGTAGTAGATCCAAGGTTGGGGTTGGTTCAACGCCAACCCAAAAGACAACATGCAGCTCCATGGTTTCCATAAACATCAAAGGACTGACTCACCACCGACTAGTTCTTCGGGCACCAATAGCTAGAGTAGTTCTAGGTGCTATTTGTTCAGATAGATATAAGATACATAGACACTGACACATAGCGAGACACAGTTCACCCCCACCCCAAGCATCATCAGGAGCAAATCAGCAGAAGAACATGGAGCTCCTCACATTCTTGTGCAGCCGAGGAAGCTCCGGCACCGGAATGCTGCCCGCCCATGTGTGCCCCCCTCCCTGGCTCGACGACGCATCCGACATGTCTTCAAACCTCACGAACGTGCCTACCTGGGCCGCCGCCAGATGTGCGTACATGATCGGAGCAACTGCAAGCCAACCCAAGCAAAAACACAACAAAACATAAGGGACAGTGTTCATTATCTGCCAAGCAAAAACAATGAGTGGCACATACCGACTGATATCGCTGTTGTGCTCCTCTGGTACCTGAAAAGGTCACAGCAACAGGGTTCAGGCATAGCTTGACAACAGATCTTTTTCTATCAGAACGGTATAAATTTCTCAAGCTCTGTCGCCCTAGACTGCCTGTCTACGTACACGTATGAAAGCGAATGCACAAATTCCTGAAGCTCATCCGCTGTGAAGCCGATCTCATCATGCAGAACATGGTAATGTGTTGGCCTCGACGTGCCCTGGCACACACAACAATTACAACTTAAGTAGGACCATCACCGGGCATACTGGTACATGGTGGTAGTAACAAAAAAACAGAGCAGAAAGCAGAGATTACATACTATCATCCCAGCATGTGCACACATGTAGAAGTCGAAATTCTTGGGATGGCAGACCTCTTTATCCACGACGGTCCCTACATAATGAACTCTTGCTTTACCATCATTTCAAAGAAAATTGCAAGTTAAGCGCTAAGCCATGTTTCGCTCTACAAAAAATAGTTGGGGACTCGGCCGTGATTGGTTGAAATAAAGTTTACCAGGAGGAACATTATCTGGACATCCAGTCTGGAAAAATCTGGTATGATGGTTTTTCTGAGCAACAATTACTGTGAACTTAGGCTCCCACTTCTCATCAAGGAACTTGCAGGCCTGCATTGATTAAAAGTAGATGGAGTGACACTGTCCAATACCGGATAATACTTGTACATCACATGTTGAAATCAAACACATAAACTACCTGGATGATCTGCTCAAGCTCAATGTTTATGACATCAGTAAACTGGCTTTCGCTAACTCCATCCCTGGAATTAGCATGAGTTGTGTGAGATGGAGGTTAAGACTTCATCCACTATCCATTTTCAGTAGAAAAACATTCCAGGAACTACAAATTTACAGGTATTACCAAATATAATTTCAGAACTTAGTACCTGAAAATAATAACTTGATCTGGTTTTCGATTCCCAGTACTATTGTAGAAGTCGATAAGTGATTCCCTGGACGTCCCGAGTGCAATGACATTTTTTGCATTAGGAAAGTGTGTGCAATAAAGTATATATAACATACATTCATGAATATGCACGTATAGTATTGTTGGCAAGGGACTGAACTCAAGATTGAATCAAATGTCATGTCTTACCGAATGAGGCCATCATCTTCCTTTCCCCGTGGTTTAAACAAGGAAGACATTGTTTCTAGTTTGGGTGACTGAGTGTGCACTGTTGCTCTATATTTAGAGATGAGAGGCCACTTGCGAGAATTAACCACCTAAGAAAAATCGAAAGCCATACCAATTCAGAATTTCTAGTAGAAATGAAGAATGGTTAAAAAAGATAAATGTGTCAGCCGTGGTAGAAGTTGCTGCCTGAGTAGGCTTACAAATACAGTCATAAAAACACTTATCAAATCTGCAATCATTCAGATGACGACTGAGCTACGATTCAGAGATTAGAACTGTATCCCTCTTACCGCAGCAATGGAAGGTCTATCAGATTACCCAGGCTGACCATGTGACACATGACACATCCATGCCCAAGATAATAGTAGGCAGCTTCCCCACAATGGGTAATACTGCAGGTGCAGGGGGTAGCTCACCTTGTAGCAGTGTGTTTAGCCCATCAAGCTGGGTAACAGCCGGTGAAAAGACAAAAGCATAAGCATATACAGTAGTCATTAAATACAGTAAAAAGAAAATAAGCTCATGTCAACAAACCTTAGCATTTATCTTCAATAGCACATTAATTAGGTACTGATCGTTGACTCTTGGTGGAGGAGCTAGACATTGTGTGAAGATGCCAAGTTCGGCAAGACACTTCCTCTTCCAAGGGCCTGGTTGAAGCAAATATATATTATATATTCTGCAACAGGTAATCATGCTTATAGGGAATGGTATAGCAAATAACGATGGCCAAAAACATGAACCAACCATAAATTTCGCAGTTTTTCCTCGCAGGAAGAAGGCACAACAGGAATTTGGGTTGTCCAGGTAGCTTGGATTTTAACTGAGCAAACATCTCATCCACTCTTCGTGACGCAGGAGCTCGTCTTACTGCTGGGCTTTCTTCAATTGCATCACCATGAGGGTCCTCTATTTCCTGCTAACAAATGAAGTTCAGCAACAGAAAATAAGAACAATTAAATACGTTGTAGAAAAAAAATAGAACATACAATCCCCAATCTCCATTGCAATTGCAATCCTTGTAAGGTCTCGGACAAGACCACGAGCATCACAACATGCAGAGAAATTGACAACTGCCCACCTCGTAACAGAACAGGTCTGGATCAGCTTCTGAAACAAAAAAGAATCAGCAAACTAGCAGAAGGTTCATCAATGATGAAGAAGTAATAAAGACATGTTATGAACAGAAAACGTGTTGACCTTTCTCGCAAGGTTCCAACGACCCTTTTGTGGGACGAATTCTTCATCATTACCGGCTTTCAGCTACATATAGAAGACTTACTTAGATACATTCAGAAGAACATCGAGCACAAGCATGCTAAACTATGTTCGGGAAACTGTTACTAACCTTGGGTGCTTGCAGGATCCTCCCTTCAATTTGAGTAAGGTTTCGGGCAATTGTAATGCCACATGCCTTCAGCATGGGGTCAGAGTCATAGTCGCTACGTTTAAGTGCCTTGCATTTAGCGTAGGATGAACTATCAGTGAATTTCCATTTGACTAAAAACAGCAAATTATATATGGTGGCAGCAAGCTGAAATCTAGTCCCTCCGTCCCATAATATAAGAGCACTTTTGACACAGTGTAGTGTCAAAAGTGCTCTTATTTTATGGGACGGAGGGAGTGGATGATAACTCACATCATCAAGAGTTGACATTCTTTGATGAGGCTTTTGTCTGGATTTCTCGACAAGTGAGGACCTCTGAAGAGTAGACAGAGCTTTGGTGTATCTTTGCAGAGGAACAAGCGTGCAAAGCTGGCCATGCAAAAAGTTCACACCAGGACATCAGATCGTCTATAAAATTTCCGAAGTTGAGACGATTATAAGGGTGAAATAGCATAACTGAGATGAACCTCGACAGGGAAGTAAGTTGGACGCTTTGGCCTCCCAGCATTGATACATGGGAGATTACCAGAATAGCGCAGTTCTATGCCTCTGTTCTGTACAAAGTAATCATAGACTGTCATTTCAACAGTATCAGTGTCTCCGTTGTCACCGTTCCTCCGCCTCAATGGAAACCTAGTTAAGCACACCAATCACAAAGCAATCGATAAATATAGCAGTAAAATGCACAAAATAGAACAAGCACTGGTAAACAATAAGACACCTTGCCAAATTACTAATTTATAAGCACTGGTAAAATGAATTAATGGTAAGGAGGAACTCTCACGTTTGTTCGTTGCAATTTTTCTCAGTTAAACCAACTATCTTAAACTCTGAATTTGTGTGAGTGGTTTTTATCCTCAAGCTCTTGAGGGTACGCTTGGCCTGTGAGGCAAACATCCAAATTGTAATTATCAAAATAAATATAGTTGGATGATTGTTCGCGCTATATTATCAAGAACATCAAAGATACACCTTACCTTTTGCCAGTTAATTTCATCAGGGCGACGAACCATCTGGTTAGCAAGAAGAAAATCGATAACAGGACCAGGTTTAACAAGCATGGTAGTCGAAACATCTGCAAGTTAAAATAAGTTTGACATGACAACATTAAATCGGATGTGGACGATGGAGTTATACGACAATACAATAAGGTGAGATGCATACCAATATTTAGGGAGAGCCCACTTTGTGTACCACGGAAACTTGAGTGAAATCCTTGGCATCCCGACAAACCACCGCCCAAGTCAATGAAACTTTTAGGATTATTGTGGAAACATGATTGGCGGACTAGAAGACAGCCCCTGTGAATAGTCAGAAAAATTAACCCCAGTCATGGCATGAAACGCACATGTGGAGCCTAAGCACAGAGTAATGCTTGTGGAGGCATAGGAGTGAGACATTCATGAAGATACATACTGCTTTGCAGAATGCTGCCTCAGTATGATATCAAGAACTCGAATAGCCTCCAGGGAGTTCTCTGATTCTTCACCTCTAATGGCCTGCGCGATTGCGGCCATAGGCATTTTCGCCGCAAAGCTCAGCTCCACTTTTATAATCTTTGACTGGTACGGCCTGCTCACTCTCTTCGTGTCACTACCTTCAGGACTGTTGCCACTATTACCTCCAGAGCTCCTACAACCAACTAATAATTGGGTTATACTGAACACAGAGGATGGTATGTAGTACTACATAGGGGCAGTTAGCCTGCAAGCAGGTCAAGGAGTAGAACTCACTTTCCACTTCCAATGTCTTCCAATACTACAGTGAATTCATTGTGTACTTGGGGAAGAGCCCCAATTGTAAAGAGGCTCTTCTCACCATCATATGCAAAGTCCTTGTTGGCAAGATCGGAATGGTACATTTGCACCAGTTTATCCTGCACCTTTCTCCCTATCCCCTTTTCAACAACAGGTTGATCATCCTCATACTTCAGATTAACCTACACATCGACAGTGCCAGATAGCATGGGGATATGGAAATTAAGGTTACGTTTGAAATTACTAGGTGGTGAATTAGCATGGGGAAAGCAAGTAAAGCGTGCTCACATGGTAGTGGTGGAAAAATTCCTCTGAACCCTTCAGGGAGACTTTATAGTGGTTAGCAAGTAGTTGGATGGTGTGCCCTCTCTTCCCTAGCCCAGGCCTGGCCATTGGGAGCCTTTTGGGCTTTGCTGGCTTGTTTGGAGGCAGTTCCTCGGCGACATCTTCTTTTTCTTTGATGGGCACCACGTCGGGAGGCAGAGGAGGTGGTGGTGGCAACTCATCTGGGCCTCCATCACTCGGGTCCATCTTGGCAGGACAGACGGAGCTCTCTGCATGTGTGAAAGTTCAGATGATTAGCAGTACAAAACAAATAAAAATAAAATTGATTCCAGTTCCAGGATGACCAAGAAGCATCAGCTGTTTAGATGAAAGATTAAGTGCAGTGTATGCTTATACAGTCATTATATCCATTGTAGGTGTAGGAATTACTGGAATGATGATTATTGTGACCAGAAAGAAATGTCTAGAAATGAACAATATTTACACTCTGGCTCTAAACAGAGTTATCCTTCACTAGGAGATCCTGTATATAAAAAAAATTGTGCATATTTAGGAGCATTAACTTTGTAAAAAGGAATTAATGATGATACTGATATATTATCAACGCAAAATAAATGGTACATATGAAGAAGATTTACTCTGTAGCTCCAAAGTGGGTTATAATTTTATCCACAAAAATATATTTGGTGCACATATCTTACAAGCAATATAAGCAAAACAGAGATTCCAGAGTTCTATGGTATATGAACCCCCAATAAAATGCATGGCTACACTATTAGAGTATTTGCCTCCTTGCACTTTGTATTACGAAAAAGGGAAGAAAGAACACGAGGTTGTTGGTCATGAAAATGAGACATTCACATTGAACCCAAAAGTTCAAAGCAGAATGAGAGCACTTTTTTAATACAAAAAACCCTAGCCAAGAACAAATGTCTCCCTTGGGAAAACCCCCAAGAACCTCTTCTCATTTACTTATTTTGGTGATCCCTGAAAGGAAGCGCGTGCGATGATATATTTCATAACTTAAACAAAGCTAGCACGGCTTGTTTAGTAATTTCAAGATGCTTTTTATGGTTGTGCATGGCTCACTAGAATCTTAAATAGGAGACATCGTGTGGTATAAATCAGATGAAAAATATAAATATAAATGGCCGGATACTGGAAAGGAGGATGATTTGTTAGCAGAGACAGATTGTTAGTGGAAGCACAAATAAGAGCAAACCTGTTTGAAGAATACATAAAGCTCTCTTTCTTGTCAATTAACCCAGATCGAAAAACAAAGAAAGCAAAACCCCCGAGAAAATTTGTTGGCAAAACCCCTAAAACGTTGGGATTGCGAATCTCTCCAGAACGGAAGAGAAAAACCCAGGAGGGGGCGATGGGGGAAGAATGCGTTGCAGATTATAAACCAATGGGAAGATTCACAAACCCCAGGAAGCAAGCTAGCTAGATGGAAGATGGAGATGAAACAAGGGAGGCGATGGGATTACCGGTGGAGCCGGGCGGCGTGGGTCGGGTCGTCTTCTCCGCTGGTCAGATCTCCTCCTTTCGTCTTCACTTGTGTGTCTGCGCTGCTTGTGGGTTTTTAAAGAGGGTGAGGGGGAGGTGAGAGGTGGGGGTAGTAATTAATTGGGGAGGTGGAAGTTAGAAGGCTTCTCCGAGAAGCCGAGAAGGATGACCTGCTGCGAGAGTACCAATACACTATCTTCCATGCAGTGCACTGTGGTGCACGCAACGGGTGCGTGTCCATTTTCTTCTCATTTTTCTTTTCCGAACATACCAACCCTCTTTTAGAGGGTGTTTGTTTTCAGAAACTTTTTTGTGTAGGGACTAGAAAAAGTCTCTCTTAGAGACTTTTTTACCAAACGGGAGGGATATTTTAGGACTAAATTAGGCATTTGGGACTAAATGAAGAAGACTCTTAAGAAAAGTCTTTTTGGGACTTTTGGGGACTTTTCCAACAATGCCCCTCCATGCATATATTGGCCCGCCACCCCATGGTGTTATTTAATTGTTATTTTTCTATATAGTAGGGGCAACATGGTCATTTAATAACCTCTATGAAGGGACTAAGGACTTTTTAGTCTCGAAAACAAACAGAGAGGAACTTTTTAGGGACTAGGGACTTTTTAGTTGGGACTAGAAAAAGTCCTAAGACTAGAGAACCAAACACCACCTTAATAATAAAGATATACATAGGTTAGCCACATCTCTTTATCAGTTATTTCTCCCCACGGCTTCATTCTTTGCTTGGTGTATATCTCTATCATTAAAGGAGAAATGGTAGGTTCGCCTCATCTTCTCTGTGTTCTTTCCTTTCTGGGCCCAATCCCGTTTGTTTTTTTTAGATTTTTTTATGTTCATCTCAACCGATGCCGCATGAAACAAAAGTTGATGTATATCTCAACTATGAAAGGGGAGTTGCTAGATTTGCCGAGGTTGAAAAAAGCTCTAGGCGTAAGCAAGGCGGTTGACCTTCGCCTAGTGCGTAGGTGGCGCTTAAGCACCCTAGACGCAGCCTAGAACGACGTACGCTTTTGGCTACAAGGGTGTATTTGGGGTATTATATGTGTTTCAGTGTTGATTTAGAGCATATAAGTGTGTGAACTACTCCCTCCTTCCATCTATATAGGGCCTAATTTGTTTTACGAGACTAACTTTGATCAAATGTTAGAGCAATAATATATGACATGCAACTTACACAAAGCATACCGGCAAATTCGTATGTGAAAGGAGCTTTCAATGATATAATTTTCACATTATGCATGTTATGTATTATTAATCTTGTCAATAGTCAAAGGCGGTCTTGAAAAATGCATTAGACCCTATATAGATGGAAGGAGGGAGTACCAACTATTGTCATTGGAATATGGCCCATTTGGGCTGCTTGTGCAATCTGACCGGATTTTTCGCTTGAGTCGACAAACTCTTTCATGTTGTCAACTTATGAATGAACCAAACTGGCCAAACCTCTATTATATTCTAGAACTTTCGACAAATATGCTTAACTGGCAATACAACATAGACTCTATTAACATATTTTTTAGATTATAGCATTTAGAAATCTCTACCATGAGTTTTTAAGAATCTCTGCCATGATATTTATTAATATTAAAATACACATGAAGAAACACAAATATAAAAATATAAATTCATATAGTATGAAGTACCTCAAACAATCAAAATTAATTCAAAAAATATTTGTTACAACATATTGTTTTAATTAGTAGAATCAACTTTTGCAGTGATATAATTACAATATTTAACTTACCGGGTTATATATACATTACAATTATGTAACAAAAAATCTTGCCAACCAAGATAATAAAAAATATTCCCATTAAATTTATAATATGACAAAAAAACTATAAAATGTATAAAAGTTCAATATGGAAAATATTAATTTTAATTAGTCCCGGGCACTGCTTTGGATTTCTGTCCAAAATGTTCTAATATTGTGCTAATTAATATTTTTAACAAGATTAAGTAAAGTTCGGTACTTAACATTTATCTTTATGCAGTAAATCAACACATGGCGTTCAAACCTTCAAGCAGTTCCATATGCACCGCTAAATCTGAGAATAGTTTGCTATAATCAGGTTCACTTAGTCAGTTTCTACATGTGGGTATGTGCAGTTCAGGTGTTAATGGGCTGACTCTGACAACGGTTTAGTTTAGCTCGGTTTTGTGTATCAAATGGTTGGGTATAATCAGGTACGGGCTCAAACAGTTCTGGTTCCAAACAATTCAACCCATGGGTATTACTGTGTTATTTTTGTATAAGTTATCGGGGGCATGTTTTAAAACAAAAATATTCTGACTTTGTCAAAGTTACCATAGTGTTTGTACGGGGTTATGCCACTACAAAATTTTAGAGTGAGTCAAGCAACATGACCTCGAGCCTCGCTCGCGTCACCTATAGGGGGTAGCTCGGGGAACCCTAGCCGCCGCCGCCCCCTCCCTCCCTGCATCCCTGTCACCATCAGAGGAGGCCGGCGAGCGAAGCTCGCCCGTGGACGGCGTGTTCGCTCGCCAGCGGACGACAGGCTCTCCTCTCTCCGCGAGGGGATCTCTGGCCAAGACGCGACGACGACCTTGGGAGCCCGACGTGGAGGCGGAGTTGGCATGATTGGGAAGCGGCCCAATGGGATTTCGGCGGCGGCTTGGTCAGCACAGCTGTGGGGCAGCGTGGGGCCGAACATGGCGGCTGGCCGCGATGGATCTGGAGTTTCCCACCCCAGACCAGTTCTCCTCCATCATCACACGGATGCCTGGGGCAGCGACCCTGGGCTTGGCGATGGTGGTCATTGATACATCTCCAATGTATCTATAATTTTTTATTTTTCCATGCTATTATTGTATCAATCTTATATGTTTTATATGCAATCATATATCATTTTTTAGGACTAACCTATTAACCTAGTGTCTAGTGCTAGTTGCTGTTTTTTTGCTTGTTTTTGGTTTTCCAGAATATGAGTACCAAACAAAGTCCAATTGCCATGAAACTTTTTGGAGATTTTTTTTCTAGACAAAAGAGACCCTAGAAGCTTCAGAAGAGGGCCAGAAGATGAAGGATTAGCCCACAAGGCACAAGGGCGCACCCTGGTGTGTTGTGGGGCCCACGTTCAGCTATTTGACCTAATTCTCTAAAATCAGAAAACCAACGGAGAGCCATCCAAAACTCTTTTTCCGCCACCGCAAATACCTGTTCTTGAGAGATCCCATATAGGGCCTTTTCTGGCACTCTGCCGGAGAGGGATTCAACCATGGAGGGGCTATACATCAACCTTGCTGCCTCTTCGATGATGTGTGATTAGTTTATCATAGACCTAGGGGTCCATAGCTGCTAGCTAGATGGCTTCTTATCTCTCTTTGATCTTCAATACAATATCCTCCTTGATGTTCTTGGAGATCTATTCGATGTAATCACTTTTTTGCGATGTGTTTGTTAGGATCCGATGAATTGTGAGTTTATGATCAGATTATCTATGAATATTTGGGTCTTCTCTGAACTCTTTTATGCATGATTATTATAGCTTTGTATTTCTCTCTGATCTATTGATTTGGTTTGGCCAACTAGATTGATTTTTCTTGCAATGGGAGAGGTGCTTTGTGATGGGTTGGATCTTGTGGTGCTCAATCCCAGTGACAGAAATGGACATGACATGTATTTGTATCGTTGCCATTAAGAATAAAAAAGATGGGATTTATTCATGCGTGAGTTTACTTTGTGCACATCATGTCAT